CAAAAATTTTAAAAAATAATAATTAAAAAACTGTTGAAAGAAAATTAAAAAATAACTTCAAAAAAATATTTAAGAAACATAATTAAAAATAATTAAAAAATAATTTTAAATATTGTTAAAAGAAAATTAAAAAATAATTAAAAAAAAATTAAGAAAAATAATTTAAAAATGATTTTAAAAATTAGCACTAGCTTAGCAAAGACCTTCGATCTATTAGGCGGGTCTGACGACTTGAGTTTTCCAATGCAACTTTGAATAGTCCTCTCATCGCGTACTAACTTCCCGACCTCGCCATCCTTCCAGAGAACAAGACGTTTAGATAGCACTTCTTGATGGTGTTTGGCCTCAGACTTTAGGGCTTGGCTTTTGAAATGCGACAGAGAGGAGTACAATGGCGGCTTTCAGTGACGTGCTGGTTGTCAGGGCTGTTATTCCACTCATTGATATGCAGTCTAATTTGATAAATAAAATCCCTTCCTACTCTGTCGTATGGCACAAGGAATACATTCTTTCTCCAAGCTATGATCTCGTCATAGGCCTCAATTATATCTGATGTTGATTAAAAAATTGCAGTGCCATCGTTTAGTTTCCTCCTAATTATAAATGGTTTGTTTTCAGTGTTATACTCTGGAAGGCATCTAAGCATAGCATTTTTCTCGTTTCACTCTGTCTTCTCATCCCATGGGAAGTTATGAGTATTACAAGTCGTATGTAAATCTTCGCGATTGAATAAATCCGTGGTGTGCAATTCTAAATTCGCTCCCGTGTAACCATTCAAAGAAACAAAAGTTTCTTGGGAAGAATTGGTTACATGTGTCTCGGGTTAATAAGTCATTGCTATATTATCTAAGCTCTGATCGTCGCTTTGTCGAGTCTTGCCGCTTGATCGCGTAAGTTCTGAATTGAGAATCCAAAGCCATCGTAGCCTTTCGCGTCTCATAACTCTTTCCTAATTTTAATATAGCCTTTTCTCCTACCATTGCTATCAAGCGGAGGCTGGTCCATCTGTGTCATGGCCACTGCTTCTCGTTTGCATCACAATAAGTCGGCATTCATTTGGTCTATCCATTTTTGTCTGGGTTTTGATTGTCTTCGATCCGCCACGCCGCTGGTTAATTATTTTCGTGGATTGCGACCATTCACTTTGAAAAACAGTTTTGCAGGTTTTGGCCTCGTCGCCTGCTCCTGTTACTACTGTTCCCCAAAATGTCCTCTATTCTTATCCCTTTTACTCGCTATTTTTAGGCTGTTTACGGGCAGCTTGCAAACTTGCTTCTCGTCCGCCATCTGCTGCCATCTCTGTCGCCATTTTTTATTTAAGAATTGCTTTATTGAAAAAAATAATTGAAAAGATTATTTAAAAAACTAAAAAATAATTATAATCGTTCAGAAGATTATTTTAAAAAAATCAAAAAATTATTTTAAACATTATTTGAAAATTGTTTTAAAAAATTGTTTAAAAAATTTGTTTAAAAAAATCCATTAAAAAATTTAAAAATTAATGAAAAAAATTTTTAAAAATTTATTAAAAAACTAATAAAAAATTTAAAATTTTCAATATCAAATTAATCAGTACTCAGCTAGGTGAGTATCTTTTATCCAAGACATGTAAGGAAAGTTTTAATCCTTTGTCGAAGATATGTAGATTGTAATGGCGCACAAATAACTAACCTGTGAACCATCAGGGAACAATGCAGCGATTTCTAACATGAGAGGCTACGTTCCATAAAACATTGGTTTAATTTCAGATATGTTTATTGGCTAGACAATCCCGCTGCGAATATTGTGATTTTTTTTTTTTAATGGAATATAAAGATATCATCTCCAAGGTCACGTCTGATAACAAGTTCCCCTTAATTGAAGTCATGTCTATGCTCTGCAGTGATAAACATGCAAATTCTCCTTGAAACTCAAATACATTATCCAGTGAATAGAAGATGAGAATAAAGAAACACTTTCTCGACTGGAAGATTTCATCTCGATATAACCTCAAATTCTTTCATCGTTTCTTGAAGGAAATGTATGCCTGACTTTAGGGAGAATAGCTAATTAGATCTTAGAAGTGAAATGAGCTATATAAGGAGATGATGCCACCCATCCAATTTACCTCTGCACAGAGAGCCACAGCTGCACGTTCACGTTCATTTATTGCTTCAAGTCAAGATACTGAAGGAAGAAAGTTCTTTCAAGAGCAGTAAGTCGTACTGTCTTCGTTTTTACATCTTAAAATTTAGTAAATCGCACAACTACCTCTATATTTTAGATTTTGTCTTGTATAATCGTACGATTCTGAGGCAATTTAAAAAATTTGTTTTGGTGTGGGTGTGGTTAACTTTGCCTCGTAACTTCTTTAGATTTATTTACCTCTTATAGGTATGAAAACTTTTGCAGCTTAAAGCATTGCTTTAAGTATATGAACATAGTACGGATTTAAAAATCAAAGTGCTCTGTGAGCAAACTCGTGAATTGACAGATGACTTACATGATTTCTTGGATTATGTTTAATGTTATCTGTTTTAGGGAATTTTTTGGTTGATTGTCATATTTAGAGTACGAGCAGTAGTTCAGTGTTCGCTAATATAGCAAAGAAACAAAGTAATGTTGGGATAAGAAGGCATTACAACTGAAATGATCATGCTATTACATTTGGCAAGGGTGGATGATGTCATGTGTTTTAAACATACATCAATTTTGTTTCTGGTTCAAAAGAAAATGTTGGAAGTAAATGTGGGTGAAAAGTGAAATTTACTGTCTATCAATGTAAATATTGGAAAATCAAGGCAATATTTTCCCAATGAAAACATTAATGATTCCCTCCTTATCATATGGGACAAACGGGAATGAGTTTTGAGTGATAAGCCCAGACTGCCACCGTCATTTTGGATTTCCGCCTGGGTAGATTTTGGTCATGTGCTAGGCAACACATAATCAAGAACAAGATAGAATTTCATTTCAGGCCTATTTATCAATTTTGTGGTGTATAATTTTCGCATTTTAGTACGTAATATTTATTTTGAATCTTCAAATTGTCTTGAAACCTAAAAGAAAATTGTTCTTTAAAAATTCACTGAAAATCGGTAGCCAAAATGATTTGTTTATGTGTTATTTGACTTTCGTGTTAACCTGTTATTTCGTCAGTCGCCGGCACCTTTTGTTGCTCACACAGAAAAACACACGATACGAAATGTAATGATCGATTTTGTCCCCAATCTCACGCCATAACAGAAAAAGCTTTTGAACACCTGTAAACTCCGAGCGCTTCGAAGTAAGTGATATTTTTAATGAATCTTCGGATTGTTTTTAGGTTCAAGAATTGTAAATTGCAATTTTGTGAAAAACGAAGGTTGTTCTCTTAATTCAGTATAAATCCTCGCACGCCTGCCAATCGCTAGCGCCTCTTGTTGAAACTAAAACGAAAAAAATTAACTCTTTTAAGATTATCACTGGCTTTTTTTTCACCGCACCACTATTCTTAGCGCTAGCGCCGCTTGTTGAAACTAAAACGAAAAAAAATTAACTCTTTTAAGATTATCACTGGCTTTTTTTCACCGCACCACTATTCTTAGCAACAAAGGTTGCCATTTCGTTTGTTTATTACTCGCCAAAAACTACCAAATGCACTCAGAAGCCTAAAACCGAAAAAAAGTTTACAGAAATCGACCAATCGAGCGAGCGAGCGAGTGCCATTCTCCACACCATATCTACAACTCGCTCTTGCGCATGCGCACAATTCACGAGTTAAAAAGGCGCACATGTGAGCTTTTCCCTTATTTTAATTTTTATTTTGGTAACAGCGTCTTGCATCCCCCAGCAAATGGGTAGGTACGTGATGAACCAATCAGAACGCGTATATTATTTGATAACTCTTCTGTTTTGTGCTTTCTTCAAAGATTTTGCTTGATACACATTACATAATGGACAAGAAAATTTTGCTCATCTTCATTCTCATCAGCTCTGGTAAGTAGATTAATGTCTCTAAAAGCACTAACGATTTAGTTGAATTTATCCGGCTTTTAATAGAGATGCCAGAACGATTGGAAAGACTTCATTACATTGTCTGTATGAGAATATCAGTTCCATTTTGGAAAAATAAGTCGAGAAAACCATTAGATGGTTTTATTCATTTTGACACCACTGTTAAATTTTTTGCAGCACAGCGAACGCTCAAAAATTTCCCTTGCGTGCTGATTCTTTGGGCCTATTGGTGAAGGGAGAGTGGAGCCAATTTAAACTTCTCCTTGCGAGGCCGATTTTTCCTCCGGTTTATCGTCAATAAATAACTAAATATGGATGGCTAATGCATATCGTTGATTGACTTACAATATTGACAATGGTAATAGGACTGAGTGGAGTCCAATTCTGTCTGTAATCATACGAGTGATTAACAAAATCGGACGACGGCGAAGCGGGAGTCCGATTTGTTAATTACGAGTTAGCCCGGCAAAATACGAGACAATAGCACACGCACGTGACGTGTTCTGTTCCCTTACACAGGCATGACGTGTTAACTGTCTCTTTAACTGTCCTATTACACTTTCCAATTATAAGCATGAGGCGTACACTGTCCTATTAGTGCTCAAATCGGACTGGTGTTAACCAATCACGTTCGAGAATTTTGATATAGTTTTGATAAAAACAGAAATTGATAGATCTCTTTTGAATAGAAGCATGTTTTGTTTTGAATCGCTACCGTTATCACGTCACTACCAAGCTCTAATACATAACATTGCCGTGGTGAGTGCACTTTCACGACCTATTGAAGAACAACATGGACAATTCTGTGTCCTAAATGAAAAATTATGCTGCTGTTAAGAGGAAAAGGGGAATTTATAAAAGAAAGCATTCATTAGGAGCCTGAATTCCTAAACATGGCTATAAGATTGTTTATGATATTTCAGAAAGTAATATTTTCTTTTTTTTCACACATTTTTTTTTCAGTCTTGGTGCAAGCCGAGGACATCTGTCAGCTACCACCAGATAAGGGTCCATGCAGGGCATATATGCCCCGCTACTATTTTGATCCGGCAGCTGGGGAGTGCAAAGTGTTCATTTATGGAGGGTGCCTAGGAAATGAAAACAACTTCAAAACTATAGAGGCTTGCGAGGCTAAGTGCTCCTGAGAAAGCAGAACGTACTGGTACCGGACATAAATTTAGGTAACTAACAATTTCACTGCGGAACCATAGAAGATTTAAGTCTGACAGTGACTAATTGTTGCCTATAAGGTCAAATTATTCGTTAAACCCAAAAATTTCCAATATTAATGGTTCTTTCTGACTTAGCATACCTCTTGCATAAAGTTAAATAGTTAAAAACCTGCCGGAATTAACGTGTAAAAAATAAAACTCCGCCGGAAAAGTGGTAATTAAAACCTAAAGTTATATAATATAGGCAAGGGAGTAGGCAGGGGGGAAGGTGGAAAAAGGCTTTTTCGGTAAGGAGTTAAACTTGGGAACATTACTTCTCCTCCTTTGTTTTTAATCTACTGTTTGATTGTAAAATCTCAGAATTAATCGTTAGCAAAAATTGCAGTCACCTTGAGACTAAAAATAAATTTTCTCGTTCAAAGCATAACGTTTGCCTCTTCTACAATAATATTCCAGTGATAACTTTACACTTTAGACAAGAAAGGCTATTTGGGTCGGCCCTTAATATATTTTCATGGACATGGGCCTATGAACGGTGTGCATCTTACATGAATCTCACATTAGAATGGGCTTCGTAATCTTACGGAATAATTCTTTTCTTCATTTTTACAGGATACGGCTTTAGCTTAGTCTCAAGATACAACAGAGTATCACTGCAAGACACAGCGTATATCCTTTCCTTCTTGTCTCAAACATTTTGGGAATGATAAAAGGCTAGCAATAGGAATAAGTCAATAAAAAACAAATAAAAATGCAATCCTTATTGTAACTTTACTGACTCAAGTTTAGTTGCCATAGCGAAGTTTCCCACAATTGCAAAATGTGCCATTTAAGTTTCGCTGTTACACATTTGAAGCTGATGAAACATTGCGACGGAAAAGGGGCCATGTTTTACAGATGAGAGCCCTCTCTCGGACTTGACAGTAAAAGGTCTAAATAATCGTTTATATATCAGCTATGTCTACGGTTAAGTGGTGATTAGTAAAATTATCAAAAACATTTTTCTATAAAAGTGTGAGACACGTTTCATGTCGTTTCGGAATTCTTCAACACATGATAAGGCAGTCAACTTTCGACAAAGCATCAGCAAAACCAGTGATACCGTCGGCGACTGCTTTAGCATAAGGCTCCCCTGGAGAATAAGGGCTACTAATTTCCCAGCCGCAGGACTAACCTTTGCTATACCACGAAGGACCATCTTCACAATAGATTCTTGCTCTTCTTCGTTCTCTTCCATTCTTTTCCTTAGTTCGCCAACCATTTGAGCCCTCGAGGCCATCATTTGAGGAACCTCCTCCAGCTTCTTGGCACATTCGTCGTTTTTCGTCTCGGCGCAAAAATTTTCTTTTTCTCTTAAAAGGTTGTCGTGTTGAAGAATATCCATCTTCTTTAGGAGTTCATTTTCCTTTTCTAAATGCCTTCGTCTTAGTTCCTTCAAGGACTCTTCGATCTCTCCCTGAGGACGTTCTTTTATTCGTTCACGAAGCTCTATTTTTTCCCTTTGGTCTTTGGCGATCATTTCTGACAACCTTTCATCATCTTCATATGTTCCTTGTTTTTCTGTTGCATTTCCAGTAACCGCTCCTCTAGGACTCATTCCGGACTCGTTTTGGTGCGCAGTCGCTCCCCTGTCGGATCGCGCGTGAATTCGTTCAGAAAGCTTTGAAATAAAGCTAAAGAGAAATTAAGGAAATCTCAACCTTAATGATATTTATATACAATCAGAATACTAACGTTTAAAATAAGTACACCTTCTTTGAGAGGTAATGATATAGCACAACGTATTTCAGTGTCTTAAGACCAAACGCAAAATAGTAGTACGGTAATCTGAACAGAGGAGCATGAAGCTGATGAGAACTTAGAGTAAGAATATGAAAACAGCATGAAGCGCTATAAAGAAACGGGTGACCCAGTCGGATGGGTTTTGGTTTTGAATCTGATCGGTTGAGATTTTGGTGTGGTTCTTTTGGAACAATTACAGACAGTAGTATAGCAAGATCCATGCATTTCCAGAAAATATTCGACACCTATTAAAAACTGCTCTTTTGCAATATGTAATCTTACAAAACGTACCAGGATTTTTGTCCTAGAAGCGAAATAGAAGTTTTTGGACGCAAGGAAAAAAAAAAACAAACAAAAAATGCACAAAGCGCGTATTATTGGCAACACCTGTAGTAATGAGACAGTGAAAAGTTTGATATAGCAAGGATACTCGAGACCCTCGAGATCACGCCTTGAGAGGACACCGCTTGAGTTATAAATAAGCACAGAGGCCAAAAGAACGGTTAAAGTAAATATCTGATTATTCTAAATTTCGTCCTGAGATCCACATACTTTAAGTACAACGGAGCACTCTGCGAGCAACAAGAAGGAGCACCGATGGGCAGCCCGATTTCCGCCGTAATTTCCGATCTATACATGGAAACCTTCGAAGAACAAATCTTAGCTACCGTCCCAGCACAACGCGGATAACTTTCTAAGCCACCTCAACCAACAACACCCGACCATCCGCTTCACCATGAAACTGAGAGTAACAACAAGATCGCTTTCCTCGACTCCCTCGTATCAAGGGAACCAGATGGTAAACTACTCACAAGTGTATATAGAAAACCCCCACACACCGACCAGTACCTCGCCTATGATTCGCACCACCCACAATCTGTTAAACGCGGTATTGTCAAGTGTTTACATGATCGAGCTAAACGCATCATTACCAAGCCATCCAGAACAGCCCAGGAGAAAAAACATCTATCCACAGTTCTCGTCGCCAACGGCTACCCTCCGTCCTTCTTACAGGAGGTGACCAAAACCAGGAATCCAACACCCGAGAGGGAAACAGCAGAATTCAAGTATACCGCAGTCTCAGAACCCCTCCGCCGCCACCTACAGCAACAAGGAATACGCACCGTCTTTAAATCCGACACAACACTAAGATCCCGGCTGGTCAGACCAAAAGATCCCGCTGACCCAAACGAGCAAGATGGCGTAGTCTAAAAGGTAGCATGCACATGCGGCAGAGTCTACATTGGGGAAACAGGACGACCCATGCAAGAAAGAATGAAAGAACACGACAGGGATATACGACTCGCACGCATTCAGAATTCCGCGGTTTCCGATCATGTCAACGGAACCGGACACAAGCCGCTGTGGAACGAAGCCAAACTCTTTGATGGAGAAAGCCATTGGTACACAAGGAAAGTGAAAGAGGCAATTTGCATAAGACTCAAGCCAGATAACATAAACAGGGGTAACGGAGTCGAAATACCGGAAGCGTATACCGGTAGCTGGATGCCTGCTGAAACGACGCGCGAAAAACCAGCGAACGCCTGAGGAAACCGTGGTACGTGGAGATCTTGTGGAAACAATAGTCGGATCGAAATGCACAGACCATGCAACAGACCACCATGATATATAATGCCGTGCCACAACCAATCAACCCCATCGCCTGAAGAAGACTTGCAGTAAGCAGTCGAAACGTTGCGTTCTACATCAAGTGACCTTGTCGTGAGACCATTTCTGTGGTCAAGTTTAAATTTCTGTTACCATTAGATAGTCGGTGATCCCCGAGAAGATATGTAAAAGACTGGAAAATTTATTCGCGACTTTTCACTCAGACAGCTCTTGCATTTCAAATCTAGGTCACGGTAACAAAATGAAATCGTTTAGTATTTACTACACACTTTGGTGCCGGTGAATGATTGTTAAACATCAGAGTAAAAATATTATCAAACGAAAATGTTTCATCCTTGCTAAATATACATCAATTGTATTTCCAACAGATTTCTTTCTTTCACTCTCTAGAAAAATGAATGACTTATGGTATTAGTCAAACACAATCTTTTGCAAAAAGTAAAAATGTAACTGAGAAATATTCTTACTATTGTTTTCTAAAGAAATCAGCCGATCTTACATTTTAAAAAAAACTTTTGTAATCAGGAAATCTTTAATTCTGGTTGAAAATTTTCTGGAAAAGCCATAAAGATGTTCTAGATTTGTCTTTTTTTAATCCCAAGAGACGAGTGCAGCACAAGATTCTAAGGAAATTTAAGAAATTCGTTTATTTCAATTGTTAAACTTGAATTTCACTATATTGTTAAGACCTGTTAAGGGTGTGGTTAACTTTGCCTCATAACTTCTTTAGATTAGTTACCTCGTATAGGTCATGAATTCAAAAGAATTAGAATGAAAAGGTTTGCAGCTTTAAGCATTGCTTTAAGTATATGAACCTAGTACGGTTATTAAAAATAGCGTCCTTGCATGCCGTGCATCCCCCAGCAAATAAGTAGGTACGTGATGAACCAACCAGAAAGCGTATATTATTAGATAACTTTTCTGGTTTTTTTTCCTTTCTTCAAAGATTTTGCTTGTTAAGTATTACATAATGGACAAGAAGACTCTGCTCATCTTTATTCTCATCAGCTCTGGTAAGTAAAATAAATTGTTATCTCCAAAAGAACCAAAGATTTATTTGAATTGATTCAACTTTTAATAGAGATGAAAGGTCGGATACCATAATGTCAAGAATGAGCTATCCATTCACATCGGTAACTTGGGATTTTTTATTACATTGTTTTTCTAAGAGTATCAGTTCCAGGTTTTGAAAAATAAATCGAGAAAGCCATCAAGTTACTTCATATTTTGACATCATCGTTAAACTTTGTTTGCACCTCAACGAACGCTCCAAAATGTCCCTTTCTTGTGACTCTTTGGGCCACTTGAAAGGGGAGAGTGGAGCCAATTTAAACCTCTCTAAGAGCCAAAAAATCGTTGTGAAGCTGATTTTTCCTCCAGTTTATCGTTAAGAAATAAATTAATATGGATAGAGAACGCTAATCGTTGATCAAAGACCTAAAATATTTGTAATGGTAGTAGAGCTGATTGGATTCCATTTCTGTCTGTAATCGTACGAATGATAAACAAAATCCGACAAGCGCAAGGAGTCCGATTTGTTAATCACGAGTATGATTACAGACAGAATTGAATAACACGAAGTCCTGTTAACAATTGATCAAAACTATGACAAATTTTTTTGAGAAAGAAGCTAGACATGGGTTACGTTTTCATAAAAAAAAAAACAAAAACAATTGAGATAGAGAGCGCGCACACGTGACGCGTTCTGTCCACTTACACAGGCATGACGTGTTAACTGTCTCTTTAACCGACCTATTACACTTTCCAACTATAGTGAAATTTGGAATAAGTAAGCACGAGTAAATTTTTCCAAAGACTAACAAAATTGCACGAGCCCGTGGGGCGAGTGCAATTTGTGGTCTTTTGGTCTTTCAAAAAATTTACAAATGTTCACTCATTCCAAATTGCACGAGAAAAACCATGTGATAACGTATTAATAATATACATGAAAAAATACGACATAGTTTATCATTATTACGCAGAAGCAAAGCGCGCGCATCAAGAAAAATTATAACATAGCTACTAAATTTGTCTAATCAAATTCAATTGCGCGAGCGTGCTTCATATTGCTATTGTGCACGCTCATGACGTCAGCAAACATATCCCTCAAGAAAAAATTTTCCATCGGGTTGAAAATGTTATAAAACAATTGGTTCATACGTCAGCTGTGCGTTCATCGAGATATGAAGCACGCGGGAAGTTTAGAGAGCACTTAAGACAGCTTCTTGAGTGCTCTCCAAACTTCCCAAGTTTCTCCAAACTTCCCAAATTTCCTAAAAATGTTTTCTTCAGTCTTGGTACAAGCCGAGGATATCTGTCATCAGCCAAAGAAAGTTGGTTCATGCAAAGCAGCATTTTCCCGCTACTATTTTAACTCGGCGGTTGGGGAGTGCAAAGAGTTCACTTATGGAGGGTGTCAAGGAAATGAAAACAACTTCAAAACTTTGCCTGGCCTGCCAGAAAAAGTGCGACATCTGCAAGCTACCTGAGGAACCTGGCCTCTGCTTGGGATACTTCACCCGGTTTTATTATGATTCAAAAGCCGGAGAGTGCAAAGATTTCATCTATGGTGAATGCGTTGGTAATGAAAACAACTTCAAAACCTTGAAAGCTTGCAAGAAAAAATGCGACAAGAAGTGTGACATCTGCAAGCTGCAAGATGAAGCTGGTCCGTGTTTTTCATCCTTTACCCGCTACTATTATGACGTGACCACCGGAAAGTGCAGCACGTTCATCTATGGCGGCTGCTTTGGCAATGAAAACAACTTCGAAACTCAAGAGGCTTGCCAACGTAGGTGTGTCACCTGCAAGCTACCAGCAGAAGTGGGCACATACAGAGCAGCATGCGCACTTCCCTGCTACTATTTTGACTCGACGGCTGGCGAATGAAAAAAGGTTTACCTTTGGTGGATGCGAAGGGAATGAAAACAACTTCAAAACTAAAAAGGCTTGCCAGGCCAAGTGCACCTGAGGAAGCAAAACGTACTGGTATAGAACGTAAATTTAGGTGAGTAACATAATTGTACTGCGGAAACATAGAAGATTAGATTCTGACACTGACTTTCAGTTGACTGTCAGGTCAAATTATTTGTTAATCCGTAAAATTGTCTGTATTAACATTAGATTAAAGGCTTTTTCTAACTTAAGCATGTCTCTTCTTAAAAGTCAATAAAAACCCGCTGGAATTCATCGTGCAAAATAAAACTCCGCCGGATGGGAGGGGGGAGGGGGGTAAGGATAAGCTTTTTTTTAGTAAGGAACGAAATTTGCGAACATAGATTCTCCTCAGTTTTTAATCAACTATTTAGATGTAAAATCTCAAATTTAGTTATTGGCAACAATTTCAGTCACCTTGAGGGGTAAAATACATCTCCCTTACAAAACACAGCGTTTGCCTCTTCCAGTGATAACTTTACACTGGTATTTTGGTCGGTAATAGATATATTCTCATGAATATGGGCCTGTGAACAGTGTTCGACTTACATGAATCTTACAAAAGAAAAAGGCTTCATAATCTTACGGAAGAATTGTTTTCTCCAATTTCACAGTATACCGCTGTAGCTTAGTCTCAAGATACAACAGAGTATCACAACAAGACAGCGTACATCCTTTCTTATTGTCTGAAATATTTTGGGAATGATAAAAGGCTAGCAATAAGAGTTAATCAATAAAAAATAAATCAAAATGCAATCCTTATTGTGATTTTACTGACTCTACTTTAGTCGCCATAGCAAAGTTTCCGACTATTGCAAGATGTGCCATTTAAGTTTCGCTGTTACACAATTGAAGCTAATGAAGCATTGCGACGGAAAAGGGGCCATGTTTTAAAGATGAGAGCCTTCCCCTAGACATGACAGGAAAAGGTTTCAATGATCGTTTATGTGTCATCTATGCCTACGCAGTGGTGATTGGTAAAATGATCAAGAACGTTTTTTCCATGAAAATTGAAGTTTCATGTCCAGTAGCAACTGCGGTGTTCTTCATCACACGATAAGGCAGTCAACTTTCGATAAAGCATCAGCAAAACCAGCGATACTGTTGCCGACTGTTTCAGTAAGACGATCTTACTGCTAAGTGTGCTAACGACGAAAGTTAAGGTAAAAACCTCAAACATGGTCACTCTTTGGTTACCAATCCTTACATATACGAGGCTGACCAACGAATTTATTTTTGGAGAGAAGAATGAATGCATTTAAATATTGTCCAACTACGAAAGAGGGGATTGTGAAGCCGCAGTACTTTGAAAGTCAGTTCTTTTGCATTTCATCCAATCTTGCTCATTTTAATACTGATTCCCAAACTGTGTTCTATTCTTATGCCTTTTACAAGCTGTTTTTAGTCTGTTTATTGTAAATTTTTCTCCTTGTCCGCCATCTGCTGCCAATTTTGATAAAACAAATTGCTTTTTTCAAAAAAATAATTTAAAAAATAACTGAAAAAAAACTGAAAACAATTAAAAATTGTTTAAAAAAAACCATAAAATAATTTGAAAAAGTTAAAAAAAAATTAAAATCATTTTAAAAAATTTTGTAAAAGATGTGTTTAAAAAAATTGTTTCAAAAAATTTAAAAAATTGTTTTAAAGAAAAATTTGATTTAAAAAATCAATGAAAAAATTAAAAAATTGTTCTCAAAAATTGTTCAATATCAAATTAATCCGTACTTAGCGTGGTGAGTACCTTTTATCCAAGACATATGAGGAAAATTACAATCCTTTGTTGGTGATATGTAGCTTGACCTTAGAACCAACAGGGAACAATTCAACGATTTCTTTCACGAGAGGTTACGTTCCATGAAACATTTGTTTAATTTCAGATTTGTTTATTCGCTAGACAGTCCCATTGAAAAAATTTTTTTTTTTTAAATCAAGATATCATTTCCAAAGTCCCATCTGATAACAAGGTCTCTTAATCAAAGTTATCTCTATGCTCTGAAGTTATAAACATGCAAATTCTCCTTCCAACTGAAATTCATTACCCAGTAAACAGGTAATGAGAATGAAGAAACACTTTGTCAGCTGCAATGTCTCATCTCAATATAACCCCATGTTCTTTCAACTTTTCGTGGAGGAAATGTACGCCTAACAGACGGGAGAATAGCTAATTAGATCTTAAGCGTGAAATGAGCTATATAAGGAGATGATGCCACCCATCGAATTTACTTCTGAACAGAGAGCCACAGCTGCACGTTCACGTTCATTTATTGCTTCAAGTCAAGATATTGAAGGAAGAGAGTTCTTTCAGGAGCTGTAAGTCGCACTGTTTTTCGTTTTTACATCTAAATTTTTTAGTAAATGGCACAACTATCTTTCTAAAGATATTTTAGATTTTGTCTTTTATAATCTCAAGAGACGGGTGCAGCACAAGACTCTATGGCAATTTCAGAAATTCGTGTTTCAATTTCAAACTTGAATTTCACTTTATTGTCAAGGCTTGGCAAGAGCGTGGTTAACATTTGGTTATCTCATATGGTCATGAATTCACAGGAAATAGAATGAGAACGTTCGCAGCTTTAAGCATTGCTTAAAGTAAATGAACATAGTACGAAGTTTGGAAAAAAGCGCTCATGTGAGCTTTTCCCTCATTATGTTTTTGGTAACAGCGTCGTGCATTCCTCAGCAAATGAGTAGGTACGTGATGAACCAAACAGAACGCGTATATTACTGGATAACTTTTCTGTTTTGTACTTTCTTCGAAGATTTTGCCCGATAAACATTACATAATGGACAAGAGAATTTTGCTCATCTTCATTCTCATCAGCTCTAGTAAGTAAATGAATTTCTCTACAAGAACTAACAATGAATGAGTTGCCAGTAATCGGATCCTTGTGTTTACGCACAGATTTTTGGGATCACCACGGGGCAAACATTGCAACTCACTAGAAGGAAATGTATGGCGAACTGTTGTTCCGACGTCCAAAAAGACGATTTTAGCGAGAGATTTTCGCTTTTTCGCCGCTCTTTTATCAGAAATGGATTTGGGTAATGCTGATACTAGGGAGGCATAAGTTTTTGTTTGAAAAACCATGTAATATGCAGTAAAATCTACCAATTATATGAAAAGCCATACTGGACAAAAGTGGTCGAGAATAATTTTGTTGGCCGAGAAATAATTCTGTCTTTCGAGATATATTTTCGATGGTCCAGAAATATCTTTGACGATTAAGAAAACTTTTTCATTGGTCGAGAAATAATTCTCTCTGACGAGAAATATTTGTGGTAAGTCCAGAAATATTTGAAAGGATCGAGAAAACTTTTTCATAGGTCAAACAATTTTTTTACTGGTTGAGAATTTTTTGGTAGATTGAGAATTAATTTTGTCTATCGAGAACTTTTTTGCCGATCGAGAATTTTTTTGTCGATCGAGAATTTTTTTTGTCGATCGAGAATTTCCTTTGTCGATCGAGAAATGTTTTTCGAGCGTGAATTTTCCTGACGGTCGAGAATTTTTTTTGTCGATCGATAATTGTTCTGTCAATCGAGCTGGTCAGCGGGCGTTTTCGCGCCAAAATATGATCACATGGGACATCACATGGTACTAAAGAAAATGGCGGACTATAAGGGCGTACTACGTACTGGTCAGCAACCCTTCCCTAAAGTAAAAAGTTGCGGGCGCACTGAAGTATCATAATATTGTAACAATATTTGTACAGCTGCTTACTGTTGTTGTATTGTTATGGAGTTTTAAATTGGTGAGAGGTAACGATGAAGAGAGACTGTGTTTCGAAAATAGAACAGAACAGTGCCTGTAATAACCCCAGGTATGTCGAGTACCGGTACGACCGCTTGGAAGGGCAAGTCCAAATTGTTGTTGCTATTTCGCTTGTTCTCGCCAACTCTCAAAGCTGTCAGGTATCGAAGGAAATGTTTCAAAATCTTCTTCATTCCCTCTGGTAGCTTCATCAAGATTTGACCTAGCACAGGCTCCTTTTGCAGAACTTTTCAGCTTCAGTGAATACATGCAATGCATTGCAGATTGTATTAGGATGTGAATATTACAAAAATTCGGTCGGCATTTCGAGTCTTTAAGAATGTTGACATAACTTGACATGTGGTCAACTAAAGGCGTAAAATGTTGGAAAAACTTTGGAAGCGAAAAAAACCCACTTCGTTTTTACGCGAGTGTGTCTTCTTTGGAAGAATTTATAGGGTATGAAACCTTTACGGATTGACTTCAAATTTGGTTCGAAGGCTCCTAAGATAGCAATCTAAAAAAACGTGTGGGGCTTTTCCGTTTTTCGAAATTGATCTCCCGCAATGGTCTCCAGGCGTAACGCCTATCAGTAAAATTTTGATAACCGAACTTGACAGAAAGATTGCAAAGCAACCAATAGGAATATCGAAAAAGCTCCACACAGTTTTGGAGACCAACCTCTTGAGATTGAAACTGTGCAGAAGTTTCACTTGTGCGGGTAGATTTGATACCCGATTAATTCGCTCAAAGAAACATCTTCCGTTTCGACTTGTCGCGCCGGAGATGACCTCCTTCTGACGGATATCGGAACACGCTTTCCAATTTGTCGATTGACGGAAAAATTCTTGATTGACTGGTAATTTCTCGATCGACAGGAAATTTCTCGATCGACAAAAAAATTTCTCGATCTACAGGAAATTTCTCGATCGACAAAAAAAATTCTCGATGGTTAAAAAAATTCTCGATGGTTAAAAAAATTCTCGATGGTTAAAAAAATTCTCGATGGTTAAAAAAATTCTCGATGGTTAAAAAAATTCTCGATGGTTAAAAAAATTCTCGATCGACAAAATTAATTCTCAATCTACCAAAAACTTCTCAACCATTAAAAAAAATTTGTTTGACCGATGAAAAATTTTTCTCGATCCTTTCAAATATTTCTGGACTTCCATAATATTTCTCGTCAAAGAGAATTATTTCTCGACCGAGGAAAAAGTTTTCTCAATCGTCAAAAATATTTCTGGACCATCGAAAATATATCTCGAAAGAAACAAAAATTATTCTCGACCACTTTTGTCCAGTATGGCTTTCCATACGGTTAACTTGTCTCCATTCGCAAGGTTTACTATGAATTTGACGCCGCGTAATGGACTCAACATTTTGAAAACATAACTTCAAATCGCCAAGGAATAACTCAACTAAGCCGTTCAAGTTTTTTGTACGTGTGTTAAGTTTACTTCTAGCGTTTTTCGTGGCTTAGTAATAAAAAAGAGCGCTAGAAGAGCTAACTTGAGGTAGCAGGAGATTGAAATGGCGTGCTTGATCATTTTAATTTACCGCAATATTTAAAAATATTGCGGTACATTAAAGCGCCGATTTACCTACACTGTTTCTATGTTGTGATGAATGCGAACGAATCTGCGTTAATAATCGGCTCAAAACTGAACCCATTCTTCTGTGACGATGAGTGATACAAATTGGTCCCTTAAGGAGCGATGCACAACCGATGATATGTCCACAGTTTCTGCCGGAGTTCCCGTGATCTTGCTTTTCTTGACAAGATCCTTCGAGGAGTTTGAGAAGAAAAGTTGCAGCTCAGAGACCTTTGGATTTTTCTCAAACAAACTATCACTTGAACGAGGGATTTCCTCATGTTTTTCATCGCTTATTTCATCCTTTCAGAGAGTAACAGCTCGGTAGAAATAATTTCCATCTCTGTGGACAACAACTTCTCTCCCTAAAGGAGGTATATTTTCAAACGTCGTAATTTGTTCATTAAATACGTTAAAAAGATGAAAACTAGCTGTAGATATATAAACACAAGTGAGAAGACTTAAATTAGTTATTTCCTAGCGATTCCTGGATAACTGTAATATTTCGAGACCATTACGCGATGACGATTTCACAATAAACCTTACGCAAGGAGAGAAGTTTTTCGGTATTTTTTATGACATATTTCGTGGTAATTCCAACAAAAACTTACACTTCCCTCGTATCAACATGTCCATAATAAAACTGCGGCGAAAAAGCCATAATCTCTCGCAAAAACCGCTTTTTTGGACGTCAAAAGGTCCTTTCGCCATACGTTCCTTTATAGCGAGTTACAATGTTTGCCCCGTGGCGATCCCAGAACTCTTTGCGCAAACGCAAGGATCCGATTACTGGCAACTCATTCATTTAGTTTAATTTATCCAGCTTTTAATAGAGATGACAAAACGATTGGGATGATCTCATTATATTGTCTCCATAAGAATATCAGTTCCATTTTTGAAAAATAAGTTGAGAAAAGCATTAAATGATTTGATATTTTGACATCATTGTTAAATTTTTGGCGCTTCAACGAACGCTCAGAAATTCCCTTGCCTGTTTACTCTTTGGGCCTCTTGGAAAAGGGAGAGTGAAACCAATTTAAACCTCTCTAAGAGCCAAAAATCGCTGTAGTCGTTAAATTTCACATATTTTTTCTTCAGTCTTGGTGCAAGCCGTGGACATCTGTCAGCTACCACCAGAAAAGGGTCCATGCTTGGCATATATGCCCCGCTACTATTTTGATCCAGCAGTTGGAGAGTGCAAAGTGTTCATTTATGGAGGGTGCCAAGGAAATGAAAACAACTTCAAAACTATAGAGGCTTGCGAGGCTACGTGCTCCTGAGAGGGCAGAACGTACTGGTACCGGATAAAATTTAGGTGACAAACAATTTCACTGCGGAAACATAGGAGATTTAAGTCTGACAGTGACTGATTGTTGACTATAAGGTCAAATTATTCGTTAAACCCCAAAATTTCCAATATTAATGGTTCTTTCTGACTTAGCATACCTCTTGCATAAAGTTAATAAAAACCTGCCGGAATTCATCGTGCAAAAAAATAAAACTCCGCCGGAAAAGTGGTAATTAAAACCTTAGCCATATAATAAAGGCAAGGGAGTAGGCAGGGGGGAAGGTGGAAAAAGGTTTTTTCAATAAGGAATTAAATTTGGTAATATTACTTCTCCTCCTTTGTTTTTAATCTACTGTTTGATTGTAAAATCCCAGAATTAATCGTTAGCAAAAAATTTCAGTCACCTTGAGACGAAAAATAAATTTGCTCGTTCAAAGCACAGCGTTTGCCTCTTCTACAATAATATTCCAGTGATAACTTTACACTTTAGACAAGAAAAGCTATTTGGGTCGGCCCTTAACATATTTTCATGGACATGGGCCTATGAACGGTGTGCATCTTTCATGAATCTCACATTAGAATGGGCTTCATAATCTTACGGAAAAATATTTTTCTTCATTTTTACAGGATACGGCTTTAGCTTAGTCTCAAGATACAACAGAGTATCACCGCAAGCCACAGCGTATATCCTTTTCTTGTTGTCTCAAACATTTTGGGAATGATAAAAGGCTAGTAATACGAATAAGTCAATAAAAAATAAATACAAATGTAATCCTTATTGGACTTTACTGACTCAAGTTTAGTTGCCACAGCGAAATTTCCCGCAATTGCAAAATAAGCAATTTAAGTTTCGCTGTTACACATTTGAAGCTGATGAAACATTGCGACGGAAAAGGGGCCATGTTTTAAGGATGAGAGCCCTCTCTCGGACTTGACAGTAAAAGGTCTAGCTAATCGTTTATATATCAGCTATGCCTACGGTTAAGTGGTGATTAGTAAAATTACCAAAAACATTTTTCTATAAAAATGTAAGACACATTTCATGTCCGGTAGCAACTGCGGTGTTCTTCATCACATGATAAGGCAGTCAACTTTCGACAAAGCATCAGCAAAATCAGCGATACCGTTGCCGACTGCTTCAGCGTAAGGTTGCGCTGGAGGATAAAGGGCCATTAATTTCCCAACCGCAGGACTAACGTTTGCTATACCACGAAGGACCATCTTGACAAGTGATTCTTGCTCTTCTTCGTTTTCTTCCATTCTTTTCCTTAGATCGCCAACCATTTGAGCCCTCGAGGCCATCATCTCAGGAACCTCCTCCAGCTTCTTGGCACATTCGTCATCTTTCGTTTCGGCGCAAAAATCTTCTTTTCCTCTTAAAAGGTTGTCGTGTTGAAGACTATCCATCTTCTTTAGGAGTTCATTTTCCTCTTCTGATTGCCTTCGTCTTAGTTCCTTCAAGGACTCTTCGATCTCTCCCTGAGGACGTTCTTTTATTCGTTCACGAAGCTCTATTTTCTCCCTTTGGTGTTTGGCGATCATTTCTGACAACCTTTTCATCATCTTCATATGTTCCTCGTTTTTCTTTTGCATTTGCAGTAACCGCTCCTCTAGGACATGTTTCTCTTGGATGAAAGCATCTCGTTTCAGCTCAGCTTCCCCTAAGCCTGCCTCCCTCATATTCTGCAATTGTCCTTGCTCCAGTTCCATCTCATTTCTCATTTCCTCTTGCATTCCAGCTCTTTCTTCTTCTGATCTGGTAATCAGCATTATCATCTTAGCAAACAGAAAAAGACGATCTTACTGCTAAGTGTACTAACGACGAAAGTTAAGGTAAAAGTCTCAAACATGGTCACTCCTTGTTGACCAATCCTGATATATGCAGCGCTGACCAAGGACTTTATTTTCGGAGAAAAGATGGATGCATTATAATATTTTCCAACTACGAAAGAGGGGATGGTGAAGAGCCAGTACTTTGAAAGTCAGTTCTTTTGCATTTCGCGATAAAATTACTCAAAATTGTAACTATTTGTTATTTTTCTCCCTTTAAATAACAACATATTTATAACGTATTAAGTAAACAATGATATATTAAAACTAAGCTAAAAAGACGGTATACCTCCTTCTCTTGTTCTTGATTTTCTTGCTCTAAGCGAATCCGCTCTTCCTGAAGAAAAAAACGTAACAGAAACAAAGTTTAGTTTGTCGCAGTCAACCGTAAGGTTAGTTTTATAGGAGCACGCACAACTCACCGCCCAGTCTCAAGTAACTACTGTTAGGCTTTGCATTTCTGTCGGGTTTTATTCAGTCCATCGGAGCATTTCGACCCTTTTTAAACGCTAGTCTCACCATACTGACTTTTCCGCAATATTATCATCCCACTAACTTACCTCAAGTCGTCTCCTTTCCCTCTCCATGTAAGCTTTGGCTGCCAGGTCTTTCGCTGCACGTTCGTCGAAATCTTTTAGCTGCCTTAGGACACTAATGTATTGCTTTGTTTCCGCTGCTATTTTCTAGAAGGGAATTAGTAAAATATATAGCAGAAGAACATCGATTAGTTGAGATGCGCACATCGCCTGTAACGTTCAGCTCCCATCCGGAAATAAGAAACCTCTTAAATGTCGAAGAACAATTTGGCATATAACATAACACAGCATGAACTTGTATTTCAATGAAAAACCATACACTTTTGATCAGATCAGGTCCAAAACATTTTCTGCAAGTTCCAAAAAAAATTTGGAAGTGCCAAACAGTATTCGTTTTTTAAAAAGCAGCCCATACTAACGTTATGATGATTTGTCAATCTCGGTCTTTTTAAGTGGCCTTGGTGTAAAGCAGAATTTGGTAGCTGTTCACCAACAGGCATTCCATTAAAATGAATAAATTTCAACATTCGTTTGAAAAATTTTTGTTTTACTTTGCAGTCGGTACAATATCCGTCAATTTGGCTCTTCTTTGAAGTGGAGAAAATGCCCTTATTTCCATTCAGGATATGAATCTGCATCAACAAACTAATAATTGGAAATAATGTTTTCTTACGGGATGAAAATCGGCAAACGCATCAGCAATGGCATCTTTAGCACCCTTTGCTTTTACATCGTAGTCGTCTTTGATATGTCGGTAAACTCTCAGGATGTCATCAAATGATAATTTCGAGCCATCTCTTCCCTGCAGCTGCTCGATGACTGGATCTAAGTGTTTTGCTTTTAGTTTCAACAGAAGATTTTCACATAACTGTTTCGTTAATTTTGAATTCTTCGTCTGCCACACGTTCAACCGTCGGCTGAAGGACGTCTGAAATTACATCGTATGAAGAAAAAATAAAACAATTAAAAATTAAGTTTAAAGGTAGAGAATGCACACCTCTAAAGCAACCCAATATATATTACAATGCGAGGGAAATCGTTACATTGTTTAAAAAGACTGACTCCTGGAATAAGTTCACTACTGGCTTAACCCTCCAATTTCCAAGATCTCATTAGTAATTCTCCTTACTGTCTATCACACAATTCTTCTGATGTCAATTTGGAAAATTTGGTATTGCATTGAGCAATAATCCCCTAATTGATATTTTACTTTATTCTCATCGCTTGTCTGCTTGATAATATATTGATATTGTAAGGAGAAATTCTCCCCTTGTGACTCATGGGAGGTGAAGGCTTAACAAGATTGCTAAGCAAAGTTGGCTTACATTACCCTCACAGCAAGTCCCTGCAGCCAAGTTCAGGTGACTTTTGTGTAAATTACCTAAATACCACACTTCTCCCGTAAGGTTACAATTTTCCCCTTGCGAGGAAACTGCTCAATGAACTTGAGACAGAAGAGTCAAGTGATATTGGCCTGCCCCCCCACCTCCCCCCCAAGCATTGACTTGGATAAGGGAGCTACTGATGCTAATTATAAATACGTCTTAAGCCTGTATCTTATAGTCATAGTTAAAGCTGAGGAGCTTCACCTTAAGTTGCCTCAGTTGCTTCTCTACAGTATTCGTTGAAATGCCGATCATCTCCCTCAAGAGCAGTTCTTCAGTTTCCTCCAGTGCGGAGTTGTGATAGGCACGTATTTCGTCATTATCACATGGTAAAACTTCAGACAGTTGTAAGGTCATAAGCTCGTCATATTTCTGCTCGCAAACTTTTTTGGTTTCAAAACATTTTGTTTCTACAAACAGGTCCCAAGCACCTTGTACATTGGGCACAAAGCCAGGGGTGTTGATTGCATCAACGTACTGGGTTACCAAAGCGGCTAGACCTACGACAAAGCAATCATTGGTTTGTCAATAAGTACTTTCATTGCTGTTCCCTTCATTTGGCAACTATTACAGTTTTCATTCATGAATCCAATATGACCCCAACTTATTCCATTCACTGTTTTTAATGAGACACGTTATTATTGTTAAACATTTCTAAAGCAAAGAAACAAAGGCGTATAAAAACACGTACCTTCCCCAGTGACGAGCTCTCCTTCAGTGTAACTGTGTTTTGGGACCAGTATGGACTTAATCAAGTATTTAAAGTCCTCCAATTGGCGCAAAAATTTTGCCTGTAACTGATCCTTATTCTCGCAGATAGTTCTCATTATCTCTTCATCAGCTGTAGGAGGAGGTAGGGAAAACGCTTCAAAACCAGGAAAGAATCCTAAGATGCCCTCAGCCACCTTCTGACTCTTCTGACTCTCACTTCCGGAATCCTCCTGACGGAAAACCTGTGTGAAGCAATTATCAATTAACAATCTATCAAACTAATTACATTCTAGGAAAGTAATATTCACCACAAAGTTAATCATACGAGTACCAATCTCCACCCATCGGATGCTGTGGTGACAATATTTGGGAATTGAACTATTCTCGTCCATTGTTAATAATATGTAGATACCAGATATGAGGAATATCCTCCATGAGAGGCCAAAATCGATAAATACATAAGTCAAAATGGCCATTAACACCTGTACTCGGAAAATGAGTAATGAAACAAACTAAATTTGTATATCAAGTAGTGAGACAAATCTGTGCTTTTCAAAGAACTCAAGTTAAAAAAAAAAAACGAATTTTTCGATAACTACCCAAGTAAGTTCACAATTCTGAACACGAAGTTCAATCGATAGTTATATCTAAATCGTGATAATTTTAAACGGTTTGGATTCTAATCTTTTTCAAAAAGTAATCCTTTATGTCCTTACAATCTTCTGGCACAGCTTGCGTTACATCCCTCAGCAACCAAATAAAGAAAGGAAACGTTCTGTGAAAGAATTCTGTCTCGTTTTGGTGAAGAGTCGCTCCCCTGTCGGATCGCGCGTGAATTCGTCCAGAAAGCTTTGAAATAAAGCTAAAGAGAAATTAAGGAAATCTCAACTTTAATGACATTTATATATAATAAGAATACTAACGTTTAAAATAAGTACACCTTCTCTGCCCCTCGTTGAGAGATAATGATATAGCACAACACATTTCAGTGTCTTATGACCAAACGCAGAATAATAATGCGGCAATCTGAACAAAGGAGAAAGGAGCTAATGAGAACTCAAAGTAAGAACAAGCAAACAGCATGAAGCGCGATAAAGAAACGGGTGACTCAGTCGTGACGGGTTTTGGTTTTGAATCAGATCGGTTGAGATTTTGGCGCGGTTGTTTTGGAACAATCACAGACAGTAGTATGGCAAGAACCATGCATTTCCATTTTCGACACTTATTGAATACTGCTCTATTGCTATCAGTAATCTTACATCACGTACCAGGATTTTTGTCCCAGAAGCGAACTAGAAGTTTTTGGACGCAAGAAAAAAAAAAAACAAAGAATGCACAGAGCGCGTATTATTGGCAACACCTGTAGTAATTAGACAATTAAAAGTTTGATATAGCAAGGATACTCGAGACCCTCGAGATCACGCCTTGTGGGGACACTGCTTGAGTTATAAATGAGCACGGAGGCCAAAAGAACAGTTAAAGTAAATATCTGATTATCGTCACGGCCTACACCGGAGGCAGCGTCAATCCCTTCTGAATCCAACAGCACTACTGTAATCTCCCTGCCCCTTGCGTCCTAGATCATAAAAATTCCAAAAAGCTTCAGGATGCGGCAAAGAAAACCATTAGCTATGTTACGACGTGCAAGCTAGCGCAACTGCCTTTTGGTGTCCGACATGCATCGAGAGCGAGACTTCACAACTGAGGATAGGGTTAGGGAGAAGGAGGACGATTAATTGGATAATGGATTTTGGGTCTTTTCGATTTGAACAATCAGTCTAATTTCCTACTGATCAGCTGTGGCTAGACTGGTTATTCAGGATTTCTGAAGAAAAAAAAATTGAATTATGCTATAGGTGGCATATCAAACTTTACAAATCTCACCGATCCTTTACAAAACTTCAGCAACAAAGCGAAAAAAGTGCCGTGTATATGACCATCATGTGTTTTGTAGAGAAAATAAAGGTACAGGAAATGTTCCTGAGACCACATTAAGTCTTCGCATCTAGCTAACGTTTGCAATGTCTACCGTTAATTCTACCCATCTACGTGCTTTTTCTCAGGAAAATTCAGCTGCCCTTAATAGGGTGGTGTAATCCACTTCAAGAGGTTCCTTGTTTCGACACACAGTCTAGGTTTCACAAGCAGAATAATCTAAACATTGCAACCTAAGTACATGTATAGTTAATTTTATAAGGAAGATTCACTCAATTACCAAAGCAAAGGTTATGGCTCACACCTTATATTTCTCAGGCACGATCCACATCCAGATTCCCATGGTCTCCGCCACCATTTTGTGCCCAAGTGGGAATACCTCCGGTTGATCAAAGATTTGGCTTAAAATGTAAGACTTTCCTTTTCTGTACGGACCAGCGATGGACACGGTGCAGACTGGGCCTGTTGTACCATAACAGAGGGCAAGGACCAATTAATTTTATGATTGAAAAAAGACTTGGTAGTGTAAACCACAAAATACCACATTAACCGGTATTAATTTATCGGATTGAAAGAATTAAACAAGCATATGTCACTTATCAACCTAACTTGCACTTAAGTTCAAAATAAATAAACTAAACATGCAAATTTTTGTTATCATTATCATCGGTTTTATCATTATTATCATTATCGTTTTACGTCTAATTAATGTTATTATTCGTCCAGAAATCTTTCAAATAAAGCTAAAGAGCAATTAAGGAAATCTAAACCTTAATGGTATTTATATATAATCAGATTACTATCGGTTAAAATAAGTACATCTTCCTTGCCCCTCGCTGAGAGTCATTGATATAGCACAAACTAAGTAAGCAAATGCTTTATTACCATCATCATCATTATTATCATTATTGTTTTAGGTCTAATTCATGTTATTATTAACATTATTTTAATAGTTATTTTTATTACTACAAGGTTAGTTTCTTATTTCTATTTTTTGGTAAACAGACCAGAGAATTGTTTTGCCGTTAAAAGTTCATTATTCCATCGTCATCATCGCCATCGTCATTATCAAACTTATTATCAGCTTTTATATTCATTCATGTATGCTTTATTTATTTAGTGGTCTAATTTGTCGTTCTTCTATCTTTATTCTTAAATCCTGGTGGTAAATATTTTTCACAATAGAACTTATAATCTTCGTCACAATGTTTCAAACATTTCCTCCTTTCCCCTTTTTTTTGAAGGTTTTCCTTGTTGTTAACAGGAAAATTGGACCTCCTGAAGTAAAAAACCTCTCAACCTGATTGAGAGGGGGCGGGGAGTTTCGACAGAATTAGGCAAAAGTTGTAGTCTATAGTGAGACTCGCAGCAGAACGACTTGCAGGTAACAGGCACAGCGCCCTCCCCTTTTCCTCTGGTTATTTTAAATTTTGGGGTATTTCTTATCTGAGATAGAGAACAGACCCGTACTTTTAATTTTCCTCAGTTCCCGAAGGCTGTCTTCAACAAAGTTCAATGAAGAACGCTTCTCCTCTGTTTTAACGCATTGGCGAGTTTTAGAGTTCCACTGATAGTTATTAGGAAGACAGAGTGGGAGTGCTCCAGCTGAGTGACCTACTAACAAAAATAACATTATTTTCGTTCATATTTGTTTCTCTACGAGAGTGGCTGGCGTAATTATTTCCAAAATTCACAGCAGAAAAAGAAACACAGTAAAATGTCGTTTTTCCACAAATGGCAGTAATGTAAGAATTCGATTGGCCAATTTGCCGTTATCGATAAGAGTACAGAGAACGCTGTTGGCGTCAACGTGTCACGCAATGGTAACGAACTGAAAGAATCGTTTCATTTGACGTCGATTTGTGGCTGCGCTTCGTGTGTCCACAAAATTTTGACCAGTGTGATGATTAATATCGTTTTCGATAAGAGTACAGAACACGCTAAACCACTGTTGACTTGTTAAATTTACTGGGGTTCGATTCCCCATGGGAACCTAGATTTTCTTGTTGTGTGAAGCCTAAAAATCCCTATTCGTGCCTTAATAAAGTCCTTTTAAAGTTGGAAAGCTTTTTAAAAAGGTGTCAAGCTTCAACCAATATAATTAATAATCATTATTCAAGACCAAATAAAAAAACACTAAAGTTGTCTTCATTACGTTGCAAATTTGAGTGTTCATGATAAATGTTAATTATAATACATTACATACCTCCGTGAGCACTTTTTAAAAGGCGTGCCTCCTCTCTCTGGGGTTGTCTTTGATGAGAAGAAGAGGATGACGATGGGGCTTCTCTCGATGATAGTCTGCTATCTGGTGTCTCTTCGCCGATGTGAATCGGGAACTCCTATCAACACAAACACAGCCACATGAGAATTATCTCTCTAAACCTCAACAGCCAGTGATAACTCAAAACTCAAAGATCGATTAAATATAGATAAATTTAAGGCGGTGATATACCTAGGATACCGATATAATCCATCTGCACTCTGGCCCCCTCTGTATGAGGAGTGGTGTGGTTTCAAATAAGACTGTGGATAAGGATAGCTCTAGTGATCAATTCTGTCAACACTCCCTTGACATCAAGTTTTGCGACCAAAACCTTAGCTAGGCTGGCCATTGAAAATTTGGCATTCGTTTAGGTAAATAACTTCAACACATCTTTCCAATAACAACTAACTTTGTGTCATTTGAAAAAATGCAGGAACAACCATTAAAGATGGTAGAATGAACTTTGGCCTATAAAATAATGTGGAAGTAATGCTGCATGTTCAACAGTTGTACTCACCGCTTTTCTTGACGATTTTTCATCTTCCATAAGCGAAAGTTGCATTGCCTTGGCTAAAGCTTCTTCTTCACTTTCAGTCTGGTATGCACTCCATGACTGCAGATCAAAATAGCGATAACAGATAAAGAAAAGCCGGCAAACTAACTAAATAGTCACCTTTCATCATGAAAGATGACTGTCTCGTGATTGACCAAAAATGCAATACTGCTGCAGGAGAGTTTCCGCTCATTCTTTCGCATTTGCCAATTACGATCATGTTGTCATAGTTCAAGCTATTCAAAATTATCACATATGCAACTGATAAACAACATATACGAACAATGGAAACACTATTTCCGAGGCACATCGCTAACTAATAATATTTCTTTTCGTGAGACTCGCGCGAAAGACAACACTGCACGAAGTTGCCTTCAGTGCGACATACACCATTACAGATACAGTCTTTTGAAAAATTAGCTTGTGTCATTAGTGGCCAAAAGTGTTTGCTCCACTGCACTTATCAAAGTTAATTTTTTTCTGTGTATACATTAATTGCAACAAATGAACGCTTACCGCCATCTTTATCTTCCCCTTTCACTTCTTTGACGAGCTTTCTTTCCACGAACTATCTCCACTGTTTAAACACTAAACACAAAAAGGGAGAAACGCGTCCAGTTCCCCCAAGTAAAATTGAATCGATCGAAGCGTAACGAAAATTATGAATCTTAACGCAATCCAATTTTTTTTAAATTTCACACAACTTGATTATCAAATAGTGGGGAAGGAAAGCTTGAGGTATTGATAGAGATGTAAAATACCCGGCTGAAAAGAAAATCCACAAAATCTGAGTGAAAAAGCTAGATAAAAACATCAGTCAATCGAGTAGCAGCATTTCTTAGCTTTCAACGACAGCAATCGTTATCAATTCACAGGAAAATACAAATTCTCAGAAATGTTTACCTCCTGTGATCAAAGTTAACGCTTTGTGTAAAGCAGATGTACACTTATCAGCCACGCAATGGATGATCTTGTACATATAAATTTTCCTATCATCATATCTTGTATTTTCTTTCGTTATTGACGATATGCTTCTTTTACCTTTTTCTGGTTACATCAGCTGTAGGATATTTTTGTCGTTTCTGGCCACTAATTGTTGCGTTACTCTGTTTACGACATCAAATGAATTTTTATCTCAATTAAATTGGAAATATATTTTTCCCGAATTTTTTGGCCTATACGTAAGAAAATACTGCTAACTTCAAGAAGCTTTTTGGAAACGATAACATTTGGCAAATATGTGACCGACTCTGAGGCTGCTTCATTAACGCAGAAAGAGTCACGCTGCTAGTTTAACAGATTAACTCTGAAAGTTCTAAGAAAAATTCTGAAAAAAATTAAAAGATAGAAAATTGTAATTTCTTTGTCTCCAACCTGTAGGATTACATATAAACATCACACTTTCAGCTGAAAGTCATTCGAGGTTCTTTCTTGTGGCACAGTCTGGTATAATATTTACCATAACGCAATAAGAAACTGCTGTTCAATCGATCTCCTGAGAAACACGAACACTTGTGACACGGCCTCGAGGATTGACAAGTTTTGAGATTAAAACTCAGTTTTAGAGAAAATAATTCTTGAGGTGTTGTTCCAAGAACCCTGTCATGGTATATGTGACGATTCAGCCTACGGAGAATACCGATCAACTCAAACAAACAAACCACCGCCCGAAGAAATGAAGAGACCGGAAGGAAAATTGAAAGCAAAAGTAGATTCGCCATTTCTTTTACGGCGTTGGAAAGATAAGTGATAACTCAAAGTTACCTTTCAGTAACAGATTATTTACTTTAAAATAGCACTGTAGTAAGCTGTATAGCAATAAAAGTATTCCATTTCGTCTTTTTCCCGGAATTCGTGCCTGATTCAAATACTTCTTGATAAATCAATATCTACCCCACTTTTCCTCGGTTATTTTTATCCTGTTTGACTTCTGTGGCAGAAAGCTTTCACAAAAATTACTTTGTGCACTTTGCTATCACTCACATTTAAGTAAACGCTTTTTTTCGGTGTAAAGAAACTGAAAGACAGCTCATATTCAGCACTGGTTCCCTTACCGTGAATCGAGCGACTCTCCAATGGTTACGATGTTCGTGTTCTGTGACTAGCGATACTTAGCGTAGGCAGTCAGGGACAGCTTCAAGTGGAGTCGATAAAAAGGTATTTACTTTAACTATGACTAAGTTACCGACCACCGGACAACAAACAATCCGACAGATATAGTTCCAACGCTCCGTATAGCTTTACAAAGTCGTATGTGAATTCCGAACTCTAAGTTTTTCTAGGAAATAAATACTTACCTCGTACCCAGTACACACCGGCCTGCGAAACGGAAGTCTTTTACTAAATCATGTCACGCAACTCGAGTTGGTTTATGATGTTGATAAATATTAGTCTCTGTAGTCTATGCATCTCGATATTGGCATCCTTTTACCAGAACAATGTCTTGTGCTTTTTGCCAGCTAGGCTATGGAGCACTCACGGACTGTTTTGACATGCTACAGAAAGAGGCACCTTACGGATAGTCTTGCAACTGGATGGCTGAACATAACAAATGTAGAAGTTCGAAAGCTTTCCTCACATTTTAACGTTGGAGGTTTGCATACTGATTTCCCTAAAACTCAAATAAGAACACTCCTAGTTCATCTGAGACATTCGATTATTGCGTTGACGAAATTTGTGTAGGGTCACCACATACATCTGGGTGTTATATACTTATATACCTAAAAAGCGAAAAAGGAAACACTAAATACTTGTATCGAGATATGCACTGCAGGTTTGCACAAATCATTTGCTTTTTAAAAATGATAGGCCGGTTGGGCATTGGGAAACGAATAATTGAAACGACAATGGCTTATTCTACGTAAACTGGTAGTTTGGGGGTAACGTCTCTTTCAATGTCTATAATATTTTGTCACGAAATATTATCATGATCTGCCCCAGATTGCAGCAGTGCCAAATGTGTCAACAAACAATATGAAAAAATATGGCTTCAAATGCCTTGACAAGTTGAATCATCTTCCAAGAAGGACCAAAGAAACATGTTTTTCTTTTTCAGTTTTGCATTTTATTATCAATTTTCAAATTTTAATCTGCCTAAAGCATGAGTTGAAAGAAGGCTTATGATCATGAAAGTTTATCAGTGGTAACCACTGTGACAGCTTGAAGAATGTCACGCTTGTAAATATACAAAGTTAGGTGAAAGTAGACATGTATATCATAGACAATGTACAGTTTACTGGCCTGAAAACAAACTTTGTGAGCATAAAAAGCCTAAATATAACTAAATAAGGCCCTTTTTTATTTACAAAAGGACTCAGGTTTTTTTTTCACTGATCTGACAGTTATTTATTAAAGAATCATTCATTGAAGCTGCTCCAGTGCCAAAAAGTTAGTTAGCTAAAGTTAGTTAGGTCTTATTTTCTAATGGACTTATATGATTTGAAAATACAGTTATTAAAATTGCTGTATTCAAACATGAATAAATGAATAATACTGAATTTTGAATCTTTAACTTAGAACTGATCATACAAACACTCCATTCAGTAAAAATAAAAACCTAAGACCTTAAACATTTTATCTTAAAAGTGCTAAATAGTAAAAAGATGAAATTCACTGGTTGTTCAAATAGTATTTGGTCAAATTACAATCAATAATAAAGCAAACTTTTTGGCAAATTTGTGGAACCATAATTTTTAATTTTTTTCTTTAAAAAAGTTTTGAAAGGCAGCCAATTGACCAATCAGAGCTATATCAGAGCAACCCACTGAGCATGGAAGGCACACACATTCCCACCGACCCAGCAGACAGGCCACAAGAATGAACTTCCCTCAAACGCTTCAACGCCAGTTGATCGAAGGGTTATCCAATATACACAAATAAATTCCACGCAGATAATTTTTTTTCAGCAAGCATTACAAGGATTGAGAGCTTAAACTGCTCTTAACGAGGCTGAAGGCTTGCCACAGATTCCAACCAGATTACGACTTTTACAACAGAAATTTTGATAAGTTCATGTGTTGATAATCTATGGCCTTTTTTTTAATTTGAATTTTGATAAGTTCATGAGCTTACTAGATGTGCGTTTTCATTGACCTGCAGGAGATATGATTGTTCAGAATGTCTATTAAGAAAATATTTTTCATACATAATGCAAATATGCATAATTCTTCTTCTCATTTTTCAAATCACAAGAGGAACTTTTCTTCAGCTTACAGAGTCTTATCTGATCTTATTTAAACACCTGAGTGGATAACGCTATCCAACTGATAAATCGGTCACGATTTCCTGTGGATAAGAATTAACAAAACTTACTGCACTATCCACCGGAAAGAGATTTATCTAGTGGAGAGAGTTACCTACCCCTCGAATAACTGGGGCCTAGGGTAGGAATAGGGGAAAGGGGGGTGGAGGGCAAGAACAGCAGTCAACACAAAGAGGAATTGACGAATTGAGAATTGAAGACACAATTTAGGCATCATGTTATCGTCATCCTTGATCAAAATCATTAATTTTTTTTGCAAAACCCTAAAAAGTTTTAATCCTATATAATTTTCACTGGTTACTTTAATGAAATCCCAAATACAGTTTCGTATCATTTAACTTCTAGTCCACTTTCTGTTTCTGCAAGCGTATTCAAGAAATCTCTTGGAGATAATAGTTACATGATACTGCAGTCAAGAGACTGCACAGCTTCGGCAATGCTTACCACGGCTGAGGCCACTGGCATAGCATAAGGTGAATACGTTGGATGAAGAGCTGCTACTTTGCCAACCACTGGTGCAACATCTCCCATAAACTTGAGGACTTGCTTCAGGATTTCACCCGTTGTAAGATCCCTTTGATTTCTTTCGTTTTCTGCCAACCTTTGGTGTAGATCCCGAGCGATTTGTGCCCTCGAAGTCATCATGTCTGGCAGATTCTCGTCGTCTTTCAGCGTGGTGTTGAAGTATTCCCTGCCGCTTGATTTGATGCCACCCACACGAGCTTCCAACTTTATCAGGAGTTCATTTACTTCTTCTGATTGCCTTCTTTCTAGCTCCTTCATTGACTCTGTTAACTCTTCAGGTGAACGTGTCTCCATTTGATCAAGAAGCTGCTCTTTCTCCCTTTGGTGTACAACGATCATTTCTGAAATGCTCTTCATCACTTTCATTTGTTCCTCGTTTTCATTTTGCACCTCCAGTAGCCGCTCGCCAAGGGCTTGGTTTTCTTTGATGTAGGTTTCCCTTTGCTGCTGGGCTTCTATCAGGCCTGCCTGCTGCATATTCTGCGATTGTTCGCGCTCCTTTTTCATCATTTCTTCCTTTAGCAATAGCAGCCCAGCTTTCTCCTTTTCTGATCTGGCAATCAGCATTTGCATCTTAACAGAACAGAAACAAAGACTATCGTATTTCTGAATGCACAACGAAAACAAATAAAGGAAACAATTTAGCTTAACTCAAAAGCGTTGAAAAACATTGCTCTTGGCGAAATTCAACCCTCCTCATTACTATGCAATGATGAAATGAGACTATTTCATTAGGGAGAAAAAGGTGTATTACTATTGTCCAAAGTTGAAAGTGAAAACTGGGAGCGTGCGTTATTTTGTAGGTTGTGACATCGATTGTTTTCTTCCATCTTTCTCAAGGGAACTAGGAAATCTAACGAAGATGAATACCTCCTTTTCCATTGTTCGATTTTCCTGCTGCAAACCAGCGTTGACTTCCTGAAAAACATAACACAAAGTAGGCAGCTTTGGATACCTTATCGTTCGAGTCATGAATAAACTACGAAAAGGCAAACCAGGATACCTCCGGAATGAACATAAAAGCATGATTGGTACCCATTCAGATTTAAGTGTCATGGAAACGTACCGCATTTGTACGTGGATAACTTAACTCCAAAACCCTTCACCAATACCGAGATTGACGAACTTACCGTTATGTCAGTCTCTTATGTCGTTCAGTCTTTAATCTGTCGAAGAAGTTTTTTTTTAATAGCCACATTTCCATTCTTGTGTGTGCACAACGTACCTCAAGCCGCATCCTTTCCCGCTCTATGAAAACTGCTGCTGCTATTTCCCTCGCCGCTCTCTGGTCAAAATCTTTCAGTTGTTTCAGTTTATCACGGTATTGTTTTGTATCCGCAGCTAGTTTCTGTAAAAGAGTATGGAAATATCGTGAGAATTTCCACGGAGTTTTAATTATAGGTCAAACATGTACAGAACATCATTTTTCAAGCTTATCCATTTGAAAGTAACGATGGTGAAGCAGTGCTGAGTAACTGGTGACCAATGGGAGTTTCTATGTTAACATATAACATTAGGGATCAATCTTAAATATCTGGAGAACGATCAGAATAAGATAAGGACTTCTTGCGGAATGAAAGTCGGAGAACGCCTCAGCAATGGCATCTTTAGCACCCAATGCGCTTGTCTCGTAGTCATCTTTGATTTGTCGATAAACGTGCAGCATGTCATCGAATGAATCTAAACCTTCTCTTCCTTGAAGCTGCTCAATGACCGGATCTAGGTGTTTTGTTTTTAGTTGTAACAGAAGATCATCACAGAATTGTCTTGTTAACCTTGAATTCTCAGTCTTCCATTCGTTCAACCGTTTCTTGAAAAAACTCTAAAATTGAAATTTATAGAAAGAAAAAAAACGAATTCAATCGAAGGTAATTTTATCAAGCATCCTAAAAGATATTAAATTGCGAAGAAACGTAGAGGATACCTCTTTCTTTCAAACAAAATTAATATCTTGCTTCCTTTAATGAGTGTATTAATTTACCATCGGTTTACCAGGAGAACAAAAGAGCCTAGAATGGTCAGTAAACACTGATTACCAAAAAAGTCTCTACAACAAGTTCTTGCAGCTAATATCATGCGACTAGTCCCTTTGAATACTACCAATTACTGATGTTGTATCAGCTTACTCCCTTCAGCTATGATTTTTACTCGAAACCGTCTCCCCGAGGCAGAGACTTACAGTATGGATCATCTTTGTGAAGAGGAAGGCAAAATAAATGGCCTTCGAAAATCAGTGTCTTAGCTACTGCTTAAGGGTGTCACCTTCAGTTCCCTCAGTTGCTTCTCCACTGTGGTTGTTGAAATGCCAGACATTTCTGCCATGAACAGATCTTTAGTTTCCTCCATTGCGGATTCGTGACACAAATGTATCTCAGCATTATCACATGGCAGTTTTAAGTCCATAAGCTCGTTATATTTCTGTTGACATTTCTTTATGGTGTCTGAACACTTGTCTTTAACAAACAGATCCCACGCGACCTGAACGTTTGGAACCACATCAGGAGTGTTGATGGCACGATAAACGTAATGGGTGACCAGGGCGGCAAGACCTATGAAACAACAAACACTTAGTACTCAGTATTCAGTACTGTGATGCTCCTTTAAGTTTGCACAGTCTGACAAGATTTACAGTCTTAACGTTGTGAAAGGAAGCAAAGGTAAGATAGCATTGGGTAGTATTGGCATCAAAGGAATTTGGTTTAAAGTGAAAGCTAAAAAAAAAACATAAAAGTATAAGCAAATTAGGAACTGAAACCGAGAGGATAGAATATATATATTCAGAGGTATTATCAGTGGCTGCATTCGAGTACAAACAGACACACCATATACTTACACCTATTAATGTTACATAAAAGTTCCAATAAGAAAGCTTAACATTTTCCATCCAAAGGGAGTAATTTGTGAGATTTCCTTCACCTTAAATTTGTTTGAGCAATTTTAAAAGAACGTTGAAGAAGAAAAAGTTCAGAAAATCGTACTTTCTACTGTATCGTTTGAGCTTACATACCACAGAAGGAGGCCAATTGACAGATTTCGTTCGAGTTTGAGTTTCCTGTGTTTATGCGGGCAAGAGATTGAGAAAGTAGAAAACTAAAATATAAACAAGAACAAGTACCTTCTCCATTTACAAGCTCTCCTTTAGTGCTGCTTTGTTTTGGGACTAGCATGGACTTAATCATCTTCTTAAACTGCTCTAATTCACTCAAAAATTGAGGCTGTAATTGATCCTTTTTCGTGTTAGGATTGTTTAACACATTTGGATCAGTTGAAGGAGGGGATAGGGCAAACGCATTAAAACCAGGAAAGAACTTCAAGATGCCCTCGGCTACATCTGGTACATCACTCCTACTTCGGGGAGCATTCTGACGGAAAACCTGTGTAAAGAATCATTTATTTGGCTTTAGTATCCCTTCCATTTGCGACCTTTTGAGACGGCGTCTCGACCTTGTTTTGGATTCTAACCTTTTTCAAGAAGTAATCCTTGATGTCTTTGCAGTCGCGTGGAATGGAGAGCACTTCATCTCTCAGCAACCAAATAAAGAAAGGAAACGTTCTGTGTAAGAACTCTTCTTCTTTTTTCTTATCAGTTTCTTTCCAGTTAGATCTTGCATGGATTCGTTCAGACAGCTTTGAGATAAAGCTAAATCGACATTAAAGAAAATCCAGGAGTATTGATTGGGACTGAAGTAATCAAAGTCATATTTTATTTGTCGTAATCCGTAAAGAGCCCAAATCAAATTTTGAGCATTTTCACCTTTCAATCTCTTCATCGATACGTTTCTTCTTGGGAAGAGCATTCCTTTATTATTATTCCTCTATTATTCACGTAATGAATCGAAATTAATGATATCGTTTGATATGAAGAGTGAAAAAACGGTCTTTGTAAATAAACTTCAATTAAAGCAATTGCTGAAAAGAAACCTGAAAAAAATTCAGGATCCGAACACGTGCTTCCAATTCTTTTGCTTTTGTTAACAACCATTGATCCTTACGTTATGGACGAGAGAAAAAAGGACCGTGAAGAGTACACACTACTGGCAACCGTTGAGGTCATGTTACAAAATGTGATTGATATGGTAAGGATACTGCAAACTATCGAGATCACGCCTTGTGGGAACACCACTTGAGTTATAAATAAGCACGGAAGCCAACAGAACGGTTAAAGTAAATATCTGATAGTCGTCACGACCTTTACTGAGAGCAGCGTCAACACCCTCTGAATCCAACAGCACCACTGTGACGTCTTGGCCACTTAAGTCCTAAATAAGGTAAGAGACTAGTCACTATTCATTATTCATTTATTTCGCCTGGGGATGGGTGAAGAATTTTTAGGTATCACTTGGTTTTAAGTGGGAACGGATCGAGGATCAGTAGTTGCCAAATGAGTATAAAGAATAAGAATATAAAGGCATATAGAATATTTACTGCAGTTGAAAATGTGGAGGGTCGAGAATATCACATAGCCTTATGGGGGGATCGGGTAAGGCAATAAAAAATCCTTCTTTCCCCCCCCCACCTCAGGCGATAAGTAATGACCGGTGCCTTAAGTCTAGAAAGCGTCAGAATACTGAGCTCAAAATTTACCATATTTCCCACATTCGTTCAGCAGAACGCTTTCGACCACACAGGATGTTTGTCTCCTATCATGATAGAAACTTCAGAGATCAAGACCAGTCTGGCTCGGTTCCAAAATCTCGTTGGGACTCAGTCTGTGCTCTGTCCATGAGTTCTCGGTACACTAATGCTGTCATACACTTTGCACTTAGGCAATTTCAAGAAAATACTACTGTTTGTGCCAGTCTATGAGGCTCATTTAGTTTTTGTTATCAGAAACACGCAAGCGGAACCGTCGAGTGTTTTGCGTAACAATGAGGGATAATACACAGGGGCGAGGGGGAGGGGCCAAATATCAGATTTCAAGTTTTTTAGATATCACTTTCACTCCACATTTTCTTTGAGCACATCTGTATATCACTTCTAAAAAAAGGAAAAGAGAGGGAGCGATGCCATATATCACATTAATCTGTGGCACGCTTTAACGTTTCAAAGCTTTCTAGCTTTTCAACAGGTCTATCGTGCACACAGTCACGAGAATAAGATAATAACTATGCTAGTACTTGCCATATGCTAATTGTCATCATTGCAGATCCCAAAAACCCCTTAGAACGTCTGATGCTTCCTCCTTATTAATATCAAAGGCGCTTGCAAGCAAACGTATGAGCGGTATTTAAGCAAAATAGAATCGTGAGTCACGTCATTTGACATACAATATGGGAGATTCGATCTCCTATCACTTAATGATTTGAAATATTACTGTGGCTTATATGGAATAAATTTCCAAAGTCTAAGTTTCACACCTTATATTTCTCTGGCACGATCCATATCCAGATTCCCATGGTCTCCGGATCAAATTCGTGTCCAAGAGGGAATACCTCTGGTTGATCAAAAGCCTCACTCAAAATGTAAGACTTTCCTTTCCGTAAAGGACCAGAGACAGCAACGGTGCACACTGGGCCTGTTATACAGAGGTAGGTGAAAACTTTAATTTGATTGCCATTACTATACCACATTAGGCTTCAAATTCACACTGAAGTGAAATAAACAATAAACAGACACGCACATGGTAGCTCTTGTTTCAACTTCTTTTTGCAGTAAAATCGTTCCCTTAAATCATCAAATAGAGCGCGGCCTGATGCGCTTCAAATCTTCATGCAAGTCAATGATAACCTTCACGACAGTTTTTGCGTATTTTCACCTTGTCCTTTCGTTTCGTTTCGCTTTCTCTCGTTTGTTTTTTCTTATTTTCATTTAGTCATGAGGTTTTGTAATTGATTTTTTTAAGGAACTGGCGACCTACTGAGCTTATAGTATTACTTTACTTAATAGAATAGACTTCTTTCATTTGAGTTAGCCCCTTGAGTCTCAATTTAAACTGGTACTAAATTCATTCCATTCATGTTGACGAGGCCTGGCTTACATGCACATGGAAGGATAGCGCTAGTTAGGCCACACAGTTATGAAAATCGTCTACATTGGCCATCATTTATTTCATTGTTACGCATGACAACAGTGCATCTGAACTGGATATCTACCACACAGAATTTTTCCTTTCCTGTTTCTCAGGACAAAGCATTTGCCTATACCTTTGACTTTCCTCAGCTCCTCAAGTGCCTCTTCAACTACATACAATGAACAACGAACTTCATTGGTTTTAACACATTGACAAGTCTTAGAATCCCACTGATAATTGTTAGGAAGACAGAGAGGGATTGCTCTTGCAGTTTTATCACCAGTCCTCTGGGAAACAGCACCTAAGGAATGAATAAAGTCAGTTTGTCTCACCGTTGCAATGTATTGCTTACCTACTCTACAATCGATTGCCATGACTTGACTTCGTGTTTTTTCGTAAAAATTACAGCTGAGACATAAAGTTAACTAATAAGTGTTAAGAAAAAAATTTATACACCACATCTCAGAATGATGAAAGGAAAATTGACTATCATCCGTCACTATGACAGAGGGCAATATTCCAGCGATTCAATTCCAGTCAGCAAACTTACACTTTTAATGTGAGAAAAAACTATTCGTGGTACTGCACAGGCTTCCATCTAGTTTATAATATGATAATAAGTGTTAACCTAACCGGTTTTGCTAAACATAGTTTTTAATAAAATCAAGCACATAAAGTTATATTGAATACATGTGTGATCCCTTTGCAATTGCTGGGTCTTCCTTCCACATGACTGTGACAAGCAGGGTTCAAAATAACAGTCGGCTGCCGCCGGCAGCCGGAACTTTTAGCACACTTGTTAGCGATTTTTCACCGAAGAACTAAAATTTTATAGAAATTATTTTGCTTATCGATCTTCCAACTGAAGTAAAAGTCGCTGTCATGTTATGGTGAACATTTCATATCAGGCAGGAAAGTAGCCAAGAAATGTTTCAAAAGCTTTTTGGAAACGTAAATGAGTATAAAGTTTCGAAATTTGAAGCGTACAATAGAGGGTATTTTAGTCCACAGTATTCAGCTCAAGCGTGAAACATGCAAGTTTGTGATCACACCGTCACATTACCATGTTTGTGTCTCTGCACGTACATACTACCTTTGGTCAAGATTTATTCTCCCCAAAATCTTGTTTAGTGTCGTTTGCAAAGCCTTCTCGCTCGTTCAAATAGAAGTCAGTACTTGACTGTACGAATTTCCTATAGCGTGAATGGAGAAGCGCGACAATTTGTCCGAACAAAGTTGTATATTTCACACTTGAACAAACACGGAAAATTGAGCAAGAGATTCTAATGCTGAAGTTATTTTAGCAATTTAACGTATACTATATGTACACCATATACATACATATTTTCTTAAACAAGAAAAGGTTTCTCAAGGGAAAGAGTAAATTTTGATTCAGGAAGATTTTAGTCATTGCTAGGCAACGGGTCCCGTTTCAGCAATACACGCAAATTTCTTATTGACAGCTGGGGAAAAAAAGAGCCTAGACAAAAGCCTACAAATCCAAGCTAAAAGCTAAAAAATTATTTTGAACTCTGGACAAGCAGTGTCGGGGCGATAAAGGTGCCATACCTGTTCTCAGTTCACCGCTCTCTTTCTGGAATTCCTGTCAGTAGGTACAAAGCGTAAACAATTCAATATAAAGAAACTTGTTTCTCAGGTATTTCTGTCCACGACATTTTATCAAACATCGAAAAAAGGATATACAAATAAATGGCCGACGTTGAAAATAGCTGGATCACACACACACAAAAAAAATGATGATAGTTAACTGAACGAGACACATATATCATAACACCAAGACTGCTTCTTGTGACGCTAAGAATGCCGGAAGACTGAGGAAGGTTTGATGTTCATTCTTTCAGCACACGTAAGAATTAACAACTATTGGTTTTGTAGCTTTCATTACCAGTCAACCACACTGATGGATCACAAAGACACAACCCCCTCATAAAATTCCCATATCGCCATGCCTTACTAGAGATTCGAAACTGCTTTTTGAAATTACAGAAATTGTTTTTCTGCCACAAGCAAAAATTTCTTCAAATGAAACAAATTGTAGTCAGTTCAAGCTTACCGCCATTTTTTGACCAAGGCCACTGAGAGGATCAACTCTCGATACCAAACTCTCTCCTCTGCTATACACTAAAGACAGAAAATTAGAAACGTTTAATCATTCAAGAATGCATTAAACACAAAATTGAGTCAGTCGAAAAGCAGTGGAAACTTGATGGTCTGAGCCTAATCAAATCAGTTTAAAGTTTTGAAAGTTGGGCTACTCAATGGAATTTTAACGCAGTCAGCAAACCACTTATTTCAAACGACTCTTAAATAACGGAGATCAAATCACATGGTATCTACAGCATGAAGTTCCCTTTCTCTTGAGAAATTCGCCAGTGAAGCGGCGAGTGGCTTGGTTTGTGAACCATGCATTTCACGGGAAACCATGAGCACAACAACGAAACTCAATTAACGTTGACGGCTTCTCTGGAAGCCACTAGATGCAATTTGTTATCGGAAAGGTTGTTATCGGACAGTTCAATCGGTCAATCACATTCAAAGTTGTGGTTAACATCAACTAAATAGTACGTGAAAGAAAAACTTTGCTACTCTTCTTTTCTCGGAAATTGTAATTTTCATGATTAATTGGTTATAAGACTTCGTTTCATCCGATTCGGTCTGTAATTATACTCGTGATATTTGTTTGCGATGTCGATGTTTGCAGTGAATTAAACATGTAATTACGCCGATGCCCTCTTTTTGCTGAAAACAGTATTTAAAGCAATCAAATTTCTTTTTTTAAAATTTCACAGAAATTGGCTATTAGGTAGTGGTGAAGGAAAGCTTGAGGAAATGACAGAAATATTTGTATTTCTGAGAAACGGAGGTGCATCAAACTGAGTATGAATTACACTGCAAAGCGGATTTGTTATATTTCGTAACGCTTAGAACAGATAAGAAATAACTAAGAACTGACACACTGAATAAGACTGCGGCTGTTCATCGAGGTGAATCACAAAAATACATCGTTTGTCTCACGATGCAATAACATTATCCGATGGGCAAGTTAATGTTGCGATCTTATTCTTGAAGCCACACGGTCGACTGGTTAGAAGTCAACTTAATTTGAATTATCCTGCTTAAAAACTTAAATTTAAAATTTCAATTAAGGATTGCCTTTGATATAACACAATTGTCGGTTGAATGATAGCAAAGTGTTTCATCTCGCTCCTTTTCCGAGAATCATGGCGGCGTACCCTCCTGCACAAAATTATAAAAAGAAACAGAAACATATCCTCCACTGCACTTATGGTCAAACTGTTTGAGGATTCTTAATTATGACATAGATCTATCATTGCAACAGCTTAGTACATGTTTCCCATCACAAGCAGTTGAGTAAATACTTATTTTTTTCACTGTGAAATGAAACTGAAAGATAAAATTGTCAGATTACCCGGAGCCGAGCTCCTGAAGTGTCTCTCTGCGGCGAAGCTCGTGTACTGGCGATAACCCCGCTTTTCTCCGTCAGTAGTCGCTTGAATACCTTCTTTATACGATTCTAATCTTTGATTAGAACTTACATTCAAGAAAATAAAACGTTGGCTGACACAAAAACTTCAAACGGATGAAGTTTTGATGCACATTACCCCACGCAGAGTTATGCAAATTTTTCCTAATAACTAAATATCACACTTTGAAAATCATTCAAGGTTCTCTCCTGTGGCACAGTCTGGTGTAATATTTACCATAACGCAATAAGAAACTGCACTTCAATCGACCTCGTTACAAACACGAACACTTGTGGCACGGCTTCATGGATTGACTAGTTTTGAGATCAAAAGTCAGTTTTAGAGAAAATAATTTTTGAGGTTGTAATGTCGTACGTCAATCATGTTGGATCACGTGACTAGAGAGAGAGATTATTATTATTAAAAAGCAAGTTTTTACTACAAGCAGGGCGTTGTGGTTCATTTTACTTTAGCTCTATTCGAGACTGATACCTCGATACCACATCTGGCGACGAGGATTCTAAAATTCATGAATCCCACAGTCAATATTCACATCAACACCGGTTTTCATTGAGGAGTTCGCTGTGTAAATTTTTCTTGAAAGCACGTGCTGTTTGCGACGCGCTCAACTCTGTGAGACCTCATGGCGGTTTATACCAAGTTTTCCACCGTTCGACGTCCATGTCGATGGCAGTGCAGGTCCACGATGGAAAAGATGGCTAGGACGCTTAGAACGAATGCTTATCGGAATGAACATCACAGCTGCGAAAAGGAAACGGGCTTTGTTGCTGCATTATGCCGGCACCGACGTAGACGAAATATTCGACACCTTACCAAACACTGGCGAAGACGGCGACTATGACACGGCGGTCGCGAAACTTAACGAGTATTTCTCCCACAAGTCAACACCACATATGAAGTATATAATTTTCGCCAGACGAAGCAGAAAGAGGGTGAGTCGCTTGATAGTTTTCACACCAGGCTTCGCCAACTCGCGAAAACCTGCGAATTCAGCGATGTTGACAAAGAAATTAAAGAACATATTATTCTGACGTGCAGTTCCAGCTCGCTAAAGTCCCTCTTCCTACCCTGGGAATCCTCACTGCAACCGTGAAATCCAGTAACGCGAGCACCTCCGCTCAGCTGACTGTTGTTAAAGGAGAAAACGGAAATCTTCTCAGCCATCACACTGCAAAGAAACTAGGTCTGATTGCGGTTTCTATTAATACTGCCACCGTCACTGAAAGAAACAAAGACGACCCGGAGTCTCTAAAAGAAGAGTTCAAATCACTGTTTGGAGGCATAGGGAAAGTACCAAACAAACAAGTGAAGTTACACATTGACCCCGATGTTACACCCCCGACAGCAACCCCACAGACGAATTCCATTTCATGTTAGAGACGATGTCGAAAAGAGCTTGAGACTTGAGAAACTCGACATCATCGAGAAAGTTGAAGGCCCACACCCTGGATCAGTCCAATTGTTGTCGTCCCCAAGAAATCCGGAGAAGTTCGAATCTGTGTTGATATGCGTGAGGCAAAACCAAGCAATTAAGCGGGAAAAGCATCTCATGCCAACCATTGATGACCTTGTTGCTGATTTGAATGGTGCAACGCTTTTCAGTACATTAGATCTGTCCTCAGGATACCACCAGCTTGAGTTATCACCTGAAAGTCGTTATGTCACAACCTTCAGTACACATGCTGGCCTAAGAAGATACAAACGTTTGCCTTTTGGAATTAATGCAGCGTCCGAAATTTTCAGGAAAAGATCAGGGAACTCCTTTCTGGCCTCCCAGGATG